CAAGCAGGGGGAGTAGGAGAGGGAGAAGCAGGCTTCCCGCAGAGCAGGGAGCCCGATGTGGGACTCAATCCCAGGACCCTGGGACCATGACCTGAGCCAAAGGCAGATGCTTAATGACTGAGCCACCCAGGCGCCCTTAATCAAGATTTTTATTATACATATTTCCTTTGACCTCTTGTTGCTCATAATTTGAGTTTTATCATGAATGAATTCTAGGTTTAAGATTTTTTGCAACTGGGCGCCTGGGTGGCTCAGTTGTTAAGCGTCTGCCTTCGGTTCAGGTCATGATCCCCAGGGTCCTGGGATGAGTCCCACATCAGGCTCCCTGCCCAGCAGGAAGCCTGTTTTTCCCTCTCCCACTCCCCCTGCTTGTGTTCCTGCTCTCGCTATCTCTCTGTTAAATAAATAAATAAAATCTTAAAAAAAAAAAAAAGATTTTTTGCAACTATTAATGTTTTCTTTTTTGAGTAGTTAATGTAGTGATTTACATGTAGAAATTACTTGCTTTTAAACTTCTGGCTTATTTTTTAAATAATTTTTTTATTTATCTGAGAGAGAGCCCACGAGGTGGGGGGAGAGGGAGAAGCAGACTCCCCGCTTGAGCAGAGAGCCTAACCGCGGGGCTCGATCCCAGGACCCTGGAATCATGACCTGAGCTGAAGGCAGACACTTGACTGAGTTATTTTAGAATGTAAATATCTGTATCCTTTACTCATTTAAATGCCATACATAGAAATCTTTATCTTCTAAGTTCATGCTATCATAATTTTTCTTATTTTGGTTTTTCTATAATGAGACATTGTTGAACTACGTGATTGTAAGTATGTATCCTTCTTTTTGTCCCGACATTAATATAACCTATTAGCTGCTATTACGATTCTTATATCACAGCCTTTTTGTAGTGTTCCCTAAAGTTCTATTATTTTATGCTTTGTCATTGCAGACGAGATGTTTCATGCTATCTTTTAATTAGTAAACTTAATTTTTGGAGCAGTTTTAGGTTTACAGCATATTGAGTGCAACGTATGGAGAAGTCCCCGATGTTCCCTGCCCCACACATGAACTGCTCATCAGCATCCCATGCCCAAGTGCTACATCTGTTACAACCAGGGAATTTACACTGATACGTCATTATCACCCAAAGCCCGGAGTTTGCATTAGGGTTCACTCCTGGTGAATGAATTTTCTGAGTTTCTGTGTGTGTGTGTTTTTTTTTTTAATTTTATTTATTTGAGAGAGAATGAAATAGAGCATGAGAGGGGGGAGGGTCAGAGGGAGAAGCAGACTCCCCGCCGAGCAGGGAGCCCGATGCGGGACTCGATCCCGGGACTCCAGGATCATGACCTGAGCCGAAGGCAGTCGCTTAACCAACTGAGCCACCCAGGCGCCCCGAGTTTCTGTGTGTTTTGACAACTGTGTGACCTGTATCTGCTGTTGTATCATACAAAATAGTTTCACTGTCCTAAAAATCCTCTGTGCTCTGCCTGTTCATCTCCCTCCCCTCAGTCCCTGAGAACAACTCATCTTTTTTCTGTCTCTATAGTTTTGACTTTTCCAGAATGTCATGTAATTGGAACCACACAGTATGTAGCCTTTTCAGGGTGCCTTCTTAGACTTGGTTCATATGCATTTTAGGTTCCTCCATGTCCTCGTATGGCTTAGTAACTCATTTCTTGTTAGCACTGAAGAATATTGCATTGTTTGGAGGTACCACAGTTTATCCACCTACTGAAAAATATCTTTGTTGCTTCTAAGTTTTGGCAATTCTGAATAAAACTGCTATACACCTCTGGGTATGCAGGTTTTTGTATAGATATAAGTTTACCACTCCTTTGGATAAATACCAAGGAGCACGATTGCAGGATCATATGGTGAAGAGTATGTTTAGTTTTGCAAGAAACTGGCAAATTGTCTTCCAAAGTAGCTGTAATATTATTTGCATAAGCAGTGAATGCAGTGTTAACTCTGCATTCTTTTATTTATTTATTTATTTATTTATTTTTAAAGATTTATTTATTCATTTATTTGACAGCGAGAGACACAGCGAGAGAGGGAACATGAGCAGAGGGAGTGGGAGAGGGAGAACTCGCAGGCTCCCCGCAGAGCAGGGAGCCCGACGCGGGGCTCGATCCCAGGGCCCTGGGATCATGACCTGAGCCGAAGGCAGACGCTTAACGACTGAGCCACCCAGGTGCCCCTTAAGTCTGCGTTCTTACCAGCATCTGATGTTGCCAGTATTTTGGATCTTGGCCATTCCAGTAGGCGTGTTGTGGTATCTCATTTTAATTTGCATTTACCTGATGGGTTGTGGAGCATCTTTCTGTATGCTGAATTGCTATTTGCATATCTTCCCTGGTGAGGTGTCTCTTGGTCTTTTGCCCATTTTTTAATCAGGTTGTTCATTTTCTTTATACTGAATTGTAAGAATTTGTATACTTTGAATAACAATCCTTTATCAGATGTGTCTTGGAAATATTTTCTCCCAGTATATAGTTTATCATCTCATCTTTAGTCTCATGCTAATTTGATTTTTTTCTTTCTTGAATGTTTGTTAGTTACGGAATTAACTGCCTATGGGCATATGATTCACAAATGTGTATCTGCAGAGCAGAAACTAGGCTGGGTTCTAGACCCACTTAGCTTGTTCTCTAATTATTTCAGGGGCACCTCAAACTTGATAGGTCAAACAAAATTTGTGCTCTTCCTTTAAAACCTGATTCTTTCTTGGCCCTTTGTTTCGGTGCATAGCAAGCATTTGTCTAGTAGGGAAGGCGAATGCCCCAAAGCCGTCCCCTGTGCTCCCTCCTCCTGTAGGTTACCCTTCCACAGATGCTCGCTCCAGCCTGGTGGGTGTGGAATGTACCTGCTTCCATTCTTCATTGTGTAACTGCTGCTTATTTCTCAGATTCAGTGTGAGCTGCTTGGGCAGGGAAGCCGTCCTGGGTCTCACTGAATACATCAGATGACACCTGGTCTAGACACCCTTGACCCTTGCCCCTTAACCTTGTAAGTTGGCACGGTTGCCATTTGGTACTTGTCTCTCCCTAGATGTTCTGAAGGGGAGATCCCGTGTCAGGGTTTTTTGGGTTTTGTTTTGAGAGAGCCCCTGTGGGAAGGGGGAGAGAGAGAATCCTAAGCAGGCTCCACACCCAGCACAAGCCCAATGCAGGACTCCCATCTCTGAGCTCATGACCTGAGCTGAAATCAAGTCAGGTGCTTAAGTGACTGAGCCACCCAGGGGCCCCATCTAGGTCAACATCTTTTTCCTTTACTATCTAATTAGCATATAGTCTGTGCTCACTAAATGTGAATGAGTGTCTGGGAACTTATATGGCTCATGTCTGCATTCAGAAGTTTTATCAGGATTATATATAGATGTATATGCATATTTTATTAACCTTGCACCGGATCAGATGATTTTTTTTTTTTTCAGTCAGATGACTTAATTCCGGTGTGGGGGGGGTTCTATTCCTATGATCCGTGTTTTGTATCCTTCCATTAGATGCTTCCCTCAAAGTTACTATACGTACTCACAAGTCCTGTTTCCCCTTTCTCTTGTTCATCTGCTTCAATAATAGCTAGCAGTTTTATTTGCTCTAGTCTCCTTCCATTAAGTTGCTGAATTCTGTTAAAGGGGATTCAATTTTTCTTTTCATACCTGCAAGTTCAAGCAGTTGGGGTCTTGACAGCAGTGATTAATCAGTAGGGGGTACAATTGTTAGTGTATCAGCAGTAAACTCAACTGCTTAAAACTTGAATACCTACCAGACTTTGCAGAGGAAAAGGTTCAGGAACAGGCATCCTGGCTGTTGTCCAAAGTGTGTGTATTGTGTATACCCTCTTCTCATCCCTGTGAACTAAAGGATGAGGAATGGGAGTGGTCTCTGCCTCTCCACCATGCAGGGTCAGGACAGTAGAGTGGAAGATGAGAAACAAAAATGAACAACCTAAGTGAGTCTCAAGCAAAGATAAAAGGGGCCTTTATGAGGTGCGAGTAGGCATGGGTTTTAGTTATTCTCCTCCCCTCAGGGTATGTCTTAATACTTGCATTCTGGAAAGTAATATTCTGAATTGACTTGAGCTGGGTAGTTTTTTGTTTTTTAAGATTTATTTGGGAGGGGGAGAGCCTGTGTGAAGAGGGGGGAGGGGCAGGGGGAGGGGGGAAGAGCATCTCAAGCAGACTCCTTGCTGAGTGCAGAGCTCCAAGCCTCCTCAGATCACGACCTTAAGCTGAAACCAAGTCAGATGCTTAACCGACTGAGCCACCCAGGCGCCCGGAGAGCTGGTTTTAAGAAATTAAAGTCTTTAATGTTAACTCTCTCTGCAATCAAAAAAGGGGCTTCTCTTTCCATTTTGTGTAAGATTCCATCCAAGTCACCTTAAACTTCCAAAAATTGGTATGGTACACTCTTTTAATAATGTTTCTTTTCTTTTTCTTTTTTTTTTTTTTTTTAAGATTTGTTTGACAGAGAGACAGCACGAGAGAGGGAACATAAGCAGGGGGAATGGAAGAGGGAGAAGCATGCTTCCTGCCAAACAGGGAGCCCGATGTGGGGCCCGATCCCAGGACCCTGGGATCATGACCTGAGCCGAAGGCAGATGCTTAATGACTGAGCCACCCAGGTGCCCCACAAGTCAATAGTATAGGAAACTGGCCGATTTCCCTCAGCCTTTTTAATCTACTATTTGGTTGATTTATGGCATTGAAAACTTTACTTGAATGGGGTTTTAATAATGTGTGAATTTTGAGTTCTGACTTTTTTTTGGCATACATATACCCATCTTGTTACCCTTTATATTAAATTGTTGTGGAGTACTCATAGTTTACTTAATAACCACATTTATGTTCTTGATTACTGTGATTCTCAAAAGAATTCTTTAGTAAATGAGTCTTTATTTTTTTTTATATTTCAGATTATATATATTTTAAGGATTTTTGAGTTTGGGGGAGTCTAGCAGAGCTGCAAGAACAAAAATTACTCTTCAGGAAAATAAAATAAAACAACGTATCTGCAATGTCCATTGTAGAGTCAGAAATTGCTAGACTTGCAAAGAAACAAGAAAATAGCACCCATAGGGAAAGAATTCAGTTGATAGAAACTGACCAGGAGATGGCTCAGGTATTAGATTTAAAATGCAAAGACATGTCAGCAGTTATGCTGATGAAGTTTAAGGGCTTGATGGAAAATCTGGACTTCATGGTTGAAGAGATAAGGGAATCCCTTAAAAAGGACCTAAAGGAAATTTTAGGAGTAGAAAGTAAAATACATGAAGTGAAAAATATAAACAACTCCAGTACCAACAAGGAGTGGCCACAAATAAAAGGTTTAGCCACACAAAAAACAGGGTTGGTAGAGAAAATAGAAGGAGCAAACTCTGAAATAGTTGAAGATAGTGAAAATTTGACTTTTAAAAGAAAAGAAGTAAGTGAGCTGAGTAGCAAATTAGACAAAGCTGAAGAGTACAGTATGAACCAAGGTAAGGAATTGTCCTGTGATGAATCAAAAAATGACAAAGGCATGGAAAGTGTGGAAGAAGCCATAAGCAATATAGACAACACTTGGGGAGATCGTAGTATCCATATAGAAGTAACACGAGAGAACCGAGAGATTGGAGAGGAGGAACCGGTCAGAGAAAAAAGAGAGGAGAAAATCCCTCAGAATTTAAAGAATAAAGAGAAAATTCTAAAAACCTCCAGAGAAGATGAAGGAGCAGTACTTACACTGGTGGCAGACTTTTCATCAGCAACACTGGACATTAGGAAGCAATGGAGTAACATCTTCAACATTCTGAGGGAAAATGATCTGGAACCTAAAGTTCTATGCCAGGTTAAATTAACATTTAAGTGTGAGGGTGAAGTAAGGACCTTTTCAGATATGCAAAGTCTCAGCAATTTTATTAGCCAAAAACCATTTTTGAACGAATTACTGAAAGATGTACTCCCACAAAAGGAAAAAATAAAGAGAGGAAGAAGGTACGGGATTCAAGAAAAAGTGGTAAGTAGACCTGTGGAGCTCATGTACAGAGAATAAGTAGTGGTTGACAAAGTTATTCCAAAGGTTAAACAAGTTTTAAAAAACAATTTCTTAAAAGTAAAAGCATGACATTAAAAGTAATAACTTAATAGCTTTTTTTCTTTTAATGGATGGTGTTGGCAGCTTGGAAGAGCTTGAGAAGAGATTGTACATATTCATTACAGACATTAAAAGGAAAAATAAACACTAGGATAGTAGCTTTTAAATCATTAAAAGGAAAAAATAGAAATAAACAAATGAGTAAATTCAATTAAAAGCCCTCATGCAGTAGGATGATGAAAAAAATCAAGTATAATAAGTATGTTCAACTTTGAATTTATAAAGCAGTCCTGGTCAGTCTTCATTAGCAGTCACGGAAATGCAAATAAACCTATTTTACTAAAGCCTATTCGAGTGTTCATTAATGTTAATATCTAGCTGTTATCCATTCCATGTATGGATTTTTGTTTTTACATCATATTAGATTATCTTTCTGTTTCTTACATCATACTAGATTATGTTTCCATGTATTTGATTTCATTGAAAACACTTTCGGTTATTTTCTGAATATTTTTTGTGATTCCAATCCTAAAAGATAATTCCTGTGGTATATTGTAGAGATTCTCTGTCTCTTCTTGGATATGTGTATATTTCTTACTTTTGTCTGTGGTGCAAGATAGTAGTCTAGTTTCATTCTTTTGCATGTGACTGTCCAGTTTTCCCAGCACCATTTACTAAAGACACTAGCCCCATTCCATATTCTTGGGTCCTTTTTCAGTAAATAGTTGACCATATATGCTTTGAGTTTTTTTCTGGACTTTCTATTCTGTTTATATTGATCTATGTTTCTGTTTTTGTGAGTTCCATACAATACCATACTGTTTTGATTACTATAGCTTTGTAATATGTTTTGAAATCAGGGTGTGATGCCTCCTGCTTTGGGTATTTGTGGTCTTTTGTGGTTCCATACAAATTTTAGGATTTTTCTATCCTGTGAAAAATGCCATTGGGATGTTGGTAGAGATTGCACTGAATCTGCAGATTGCCTTGGGTAGTATAGACATTTTAACAATATTTATTATGCCAATTCATGAATAGAATATCTCCTCAGAGGTCTGTATTGTAAGCCAGTATTTTTGATGGGTCCTCAGAAATTAACTGTTTCCTGGCGATTTACACAGATGAGGCACCCAGCCTGTCCTGGAGGGTCTGGGGAGGTGGAAGGACAATTAGTGGCTAGCCAGCCCTAAATAGGGAAGAGTCCGTAACAGAGGGAGCATTAAGTGAAAAGCTCAGAGGCAAGGACATGGTTCCAAGGAATATTATGAGCCAACTTACTATATTACAGATACTGTCTCAAGCTCAGTACCTAGGTTGTCCTATTGAACCCTCACAACTATCCAAAGTAGATGCTCTTCTAGCAATTTGATGTACCAGTAGCAAATGTGACAGCTGGGTTTGAACAAGCAATCTTTTTTTTAAGTCGGCTCCATGCCCAAAGTGGGGCTTGAACCCATGACCCTGAGATTGAGAGTCGCAGGCTCTGCCACCTGAGCCAGCTAGGTGCCCCTGAACAAAGTGGTCTTAAATTGAGCCTGTACTCCTAACCAAAACATGCTTTCCTTTTGAGTAATGTGACTGTAGTTTGAACTGCACATGGCATCTTTAAGAAATACTAGATTTACTTTTGTTTCCTTTGGGGGAAAAGGAAATGTGAGTTTTTTGGGGGGGGTGGGGGTACTTTGTAGTGTTCCTGAAGTTAGAGAAGTCTCTCTATCATAGGATCCTGCATGTAATCAGATATTCACTAACACAAGTTGTTCTTGAGAGTCCGTATTGGGAATATAGAAGGAACACACTAAACATTATGACCTCGTAGAAATTTGTTGAGGTGCTACACAGATAACAGGTGTGATGGGGTTATCATAGGGGAAACTTGACTTGTTTGGGGACCTAGGCATTCAAGAACAAGTAATAAATAATTTTCTAGATATTTGGTAATTGTTAAAATATGTAGTCAAATTAAACTTATAGAGTGAAAGGATTAATTCCTTTAAAAGACAAATGATACATTTTTTTTTCCTTTCAGGAAAAAACTCAACTAGATTTGAAGCATGGAGCCGATGGGGAAGCCAGTGATGGCTTGAGTTTTCTATTTGTTAAAAAAGTAAAGGTTGCTGAGCCAGAGGAGGTGAAGAACTTAGAGATTCAGGAAGAAGAGTCTTCAGAGCTGGAAGAAGAGGGAGAAGAGGCTTCAGAGTTGGATGAGGAAGAAGAGGCTTCAGGCCTGGAGGAGGAGGAAGAAGAGACTTCAGGGCTGGAGGAGGAGGGAGAAGAAGAGGCTTCAGTATTACGTGAGAAACAGGATTCAACCTTTCAGCGTCATTCTGAGGTAAATACACAACGTGGAGTTGAAGAAAAAAATAGTGGTTTGGAGATTGTTTTAATTAAAGAGGTAGAAGATTCTGAGCCAGAGGAAGAAAAAGGTTCAGAGTGGGAAATGGAAGTAGTTTTATCGTGGGAGGAAGGAGAGGACTCTGAGGTAGAAAATGTAAAGACTGCCTCCCAGATTGAGAAAAAAGAGGCCTCAGATGGGCTTAAAGAAATTGCCTATGATTATTTGGCTCAGGACTTTGAGAAGAAAAAATTGGTGAAACACCAGATGGCACAAAAAACCCAGGATAAAAAGGAAACAGCTATGCCCAGAAACCAAGGAATTGGGACAGTCTGTCCAATCTTGCGTTTGGCCTCTCCCTCAAAATCACTAGAGATAAGTTCTGATAAGCAGAAAAGGCATTTAAGTACAAATTTGAGTACTCCATCAGGAATCACCAAATTTTTAAGGAAGACTGAGAAAGAGCGACACAAAACTCTGCTAACAGATGAGCAAACATCTAAAGAAACAGACTTAATACAAGAAACTGAAGAAAACTTCAGAAGAAATGTAATTAACAACTTTAGAGAGCTACAGGAGGAGGTTGCAAATCTTAAAAATTACCTTCCAGAGGTCTTGGGAATAAAAAACTCAGTAGATGTTCTGAATAGCAGAATAGACACACTTGAAGAGAGAATGGACAATCTGGAAGACCGAATTGAAGAATTCTCTAAGGATACAATGCAAATGGCCAAACAGATAATAAATAAAGAAAGGTCAAGAGACATAGAGGATAGATCCAGAAGTTCCAACATCCGTTTGATAGGAATTCCAGAAAAAGATAATAAAGAGAATGGAGCAGAGGAAATAATTAAGGAAATCATTGAAGAAAACTTTCCAGAGCTAAAGGATTCAAGTCTTGAGGTGGTCAGTGCTTACCGAATACCTAGTAAGATTGATGAGAAGAGACTCACTCCTAGACACATCTTGGTGAAATTTGGGAATTGCAGTGATAAAGAAAAAATCCTAAAGGCTTCCAGAAAAAGAGAAATAACCTACAGAGGAACAAGAATCAGAATGACCGCAGACTTATCATTAGATACTCTAGATGCTAGAAGTCAGTGGAGCAATGTCATAAAAGTTCTGCAGGCAAAAGGCTTTACACCTAGAATCCTATACCCAGCCAAATTGGCATTTGATTTTGAAGGTAAAACAAAGACATTTTTTGATACCGAAGAGTTCACAAAGTTTGTTTCTTGCATACCCTCTTTGAAAGAATTACTGGAGGATATACTTTAGCAATCTAGGATGACTATAAACACGTACACACAATATATATTACCTTCCTCCCACAGCAAGAGTCAAAAAGGAAAACGAAATTAAAATGCCACATTTCTACCCAGGAGGATGGACTGTGAACAGTATACTTGGGGAGTAGGGGAAAGGAAGGTTACAGATACTACTTAGATGTTGGTGAAGTTAAAGGGTGTGTGTTAAAATTAGTGTTAATCATGGTAGCTTGTGCAAGAGTAGGCTTTCTAAACTATTGGGGAGAGGGAGGGAATCTGTCAATGTAACCATGGGGAGAGGTGGGGTGAAAGTAATAGAAAAACAGGAAAAAAAGTTAAATAGGGAAAATATGCAAAAGTTGAGCTTTTGTCACAAGAAGGTACTCAGTTTTAGATCATTTATCATGATGTGAATCTTGAATCTTTATATTAAACCTTTTTCCTTTGAATATGTTTCATTTGCTTACTTTTGTTATTACATAGTTAATCTTTACATTTTATTGCATAAAGCTATCCAATGAAGAGATCAGATCTCTTTCCTAATGTTGGACGTTAATGTATTCTCAATTGTTAGTCTAGAATAAAATAAATTGATTTGCAACATACAGATAAGAAATGAAGAAAATGATGTAACCATTTTATGGCTTTTGCTCCCAAGGGCTTATTTAATATATTTAATTTACAAAAACAAAAAAAAAAACAAAAAGTGTCCTCTGCCCAGCATTTGAAATCAGCCTTTCTCAGTTCAGTCCTTAACAACTCTGACCTTCATGGACCTTGCAACTTTAAATGCCCTGGCCTCAGTACACCTGGCATTGAGCTCTAACTCTACTGTGTGACCACAGGCAGGTTACTAATGCCTCTTGAGTCTCTAGTTCCTTCATACGTAACTGGGTTCATTCCTTCCTCTCAGGTTTCTTGTAAAATTCTGTGCCCAACATAAGAATCCTCAGTAGATGGGAAATCCTGCTTCCTGGCCAGTAGATCTAAAGTAAAGCTGGTTGCCCTCCCAGTTGTTGAGTTGAGTTTTAATCTCTACACCCAACATGGGGCTTGAACTTAAAACCTGCGATCAAGAGTTGCATGGTCTACCAACTGAGCCAGCCGGGTGCCCCCCAGTTGTTGATTTTAGAGTGAGTGAGCACCACAGGAGGCCATTTTCAGTTGTGTTGGGAATGGGTGGGTTAGAAAACTGAAAACATTAATCTTAGGTACTCCATTATTTTTCTATTTCTACTCTGCTGCATTTCATTGCTATGTCTGGCTTATAGGCTTTTTTCCCCCCAGTTTTTCTTCTGTAAAAATACTTTTTACCTTTTGCTCTACTTAGGAAATGATAAGAGGTGTTGAGAAAATAGTATAGTCCCATGTACCTTTTATCCTCTTCCCCCAATGATAACATCTTACATAACTAGAGTTAAGTTACAAGGAAGGATTCCTGGATAGATCCTTTGGAGGAAGCGTGATCTGTCACTACCTTGATTTCCGACTTCTGGTCTCCAGAATTGAGTTTCTGTTCCAAGCCACCTATTTGTCATACTTTGTTATCAGCTCCAGGAAACTTAATACAGTGTTCATGAACTGTTAGGATGCCCACGCGCTGCTTTCTTCAAGACTAATAGCCTGTTTCTGTAGATGATTATAGGAGATCAGGCAACAATTCTGCTGATGCTGATACACTTCTAGTGGCCAGATTGAGAGAAAGCCTGTCTTGTAGAACCCTCCAACATGGATGCTTACGTTGACATACTCCTACACAGTCTAAACCCCTTGTGGCATTTACTTGGGGATAGTGTTTAAGCTGTTTTTTTCCCAGGGTGTGGGGAGGGGTGAGAATTTCTAGCACAAAAGTAGACAGTTGGTAATACCCTTCACACCCTGCTACTTTATCAAGTCTGTTCAAAATCTCTTGTATTTTCCTGTTAATCTTGCCCTTATTCTCTCCCCTAGTATCCACCCACTAACACAAGTCTTGTAAGTCCTTGGATGTTTTTCTTCTAAAATGTCCTTTTGTCAGTGATTGTGTTTCTAACCTATGGGAATGGAATTATGCTTTGGACCTTATCTATTACTATTAATACTTAAAAAAAAGATAATCTATTATGCACATCTAACTCATTGTTTCTAATGAATTTGACAGTATGCATCCTTAATATTTTATCACTTTGTCTAGTGGTGGACACCTAAGCTGCTCCGTCTCCCTCTTTCCCCCCATTGTTTATGACCAACTTTATCCCTTCCCCCTTAGGGACCTGGGCAAGAGTACCCTTTGGATCCTAATGTAAGCTTATGCTTAATTCCACTCAGGATTGCCAGTTTGTTTTTCAGAGTGGTTCTAGTTTGTGAAAAGTGAAGACCACCCAGATGAGAACAAGCCCAAGGTATTCATTCAGACCTTACTATGATGGAGCCAGCCAGCATGGCCAGTATCAAAAACTCAAAGGCAGTTAGGAGTGGGAAAGCTTTATAGTGGAACAAAAGGAGAGGTTCCAGGTATGCTACCATTGGAGGTTATTGGCATGGGAAGCTAACTAGAAGCAGGGCATCTCTATTTGGCAGGGAGAGAAAGCACAAGCAGGGGGAGTGGGAGAGGGAGAAGCAGGCCTCCTGCTGAGCAGAGCCCAACATGGGGCTCAATGCCAGGACTCTGGGATCATGACCTGAGCTGAAGGCAGATGCTGAACTGACTGAGCCACCCACGTGCCCCAGGAGTAGGGCATCTTATGTGATGACTTTGGGGAACATATTTGGCTTTGGTTGGCCCTGAGTTGGAAATGGGAGCAAAAACGGAATTTGGTAGTCATTGACCAAGTCTGACCATTCTAGGCCAACTGCTGCAAAGGTGGTTTGGTTTCCCAGGCTAATTGTAGAAGTTGCTGGTCAGAGTTCTGTTGTCATATATGCTTTGACTATCTATGTATTTCACTGGAGTTCCTACTTTCTTACATCCCCACTCAACTTTTTAATTTTTCCCAACATAATGGTTGTAAAATGGTATCCTGTTTTAATTTGTATTTCTGTAATTCACGAAGTTGAGAAGTCGTCCATATATTTTTGTAGTCATTTAGAGTTCACCCTTTCAATTTGCTGATTCATATCTTTTGCTCTTTTATCAGTGACCAAAAAAAGCCTTTTTTTTTTTTCCCCCAGTAATCTCCACACCTAATGTGGGGCTTGAACTCAATGATTCTCAGATCAAGAGTCACATGCTCTACTGAACTAGCCAGGCGCCCCAAAGCCTCTTTTTCTTTTGATGATTTACAAGAGTTCTTTGTATAACTGGATAGTAATCCAATATTGTTTTTAGATAGTAGAAATATTTTCTCCCAGTTCATTACTCACTTTTTTTTTTTTTAGTTTTAAGATTTATTTATTTGACCGAGACACAGCGAGAGAGGGAACACAAGCAGGGGAAGTGAGAGAGGGAGAAGCAGGCTTCCCCCGAAGCAGGGAGCCCGATGGGGCTTGATTCCAGGACCCCGGGATCAAGACCTGAGCTGAAGGCAGACACTTAATGACTGAGCCACCCAGGGGCCCCCATTACTCATTTGTTAATTTTGTCTATTCTATCCTCTTTGAACAGAAATCCTCAATATTTTATGGAATCTGACCCATAATTGTTTTTGCCTTATGGTTGATGCTTTTAAAGTCTTTAAGAATTGCTTTCCTGCCTACAAATATTCTACATGTTTTTTTTTATGTTTTTCCATTTTAAAAAATTAATGTATAATTTATATATAGTAACATGTTTTATGACGTATAGTGTTGCAAGTTTTGATAAGTGGATACAGGTATATAATTGCTATCAAGATGGGAGTGCCTGGCTGGCTCAGTCGGAAGAGCTTATGATTCTTCATCTTGGGTATGTGAGTTCAAGCCTCACATTGGTTTTGAGATTACTTAAAAAGTAAAAATCTTTTTAAAAAATACAGAATTGTTCCCTCAGTCTCTAAAATTACCCTTTGAGTCTGGCTTCTTTCGTTTAGCATAATGCCTTTGAGATTAATCCACATTGCTTTTATCAATCATTCTTACCATTTTATCACTGAGTAGTGTGCTTTATGGATGTATCATAGTTTGTTGATCCATTTCCAAGTTGAAGAACAGTTTTTGACAATTTCCAAAAATGTTGCCATAAGCATTTCTGTATGTATTATTTTTTGTGTGAACGTAAGGTTAAGGTTTCATTTCTCTTGGATATATGTCTGCAGTGGGATTGCTGGGTTGTATGGTAAACATATATATATACCAAGCTATTTTCCAAAGTAGTTGAACTATTTTGCATTCCCACCAGCAAGGTATGTTTCCAGTTGCTCCATACTCACATCAGCACTGGGTGTGGCTTTACATTTTAACTTTTTACATTTCATTCTCTAATCTACCCAAAATCCATTTTCATATATGGTTTTAAGTCAGAAGTGAAGTTTTATTTATTGCCAAATAGTAGGCCAGTTTTCTGACTCTGTTCTGTTTCATTGATCTGTTTTTCTGAAATTTACAATTTCCACTTTTTCCAAGAAAGAACGTAATAAAATATTTCAAAGTAGTATGAGTGCTAAGGGGATTTCAGGCTATAAAAGGGGATTGACGGAGTCTCCTAGAATAATGGTGTAGGGGCTGTAGAAGAGGCATGAGCTCCAGTTTGTGTGTGTGTTTTTTTTTAAAGATTTTATTTATTTGAGAGAGTGAGAGAGAGCATGAGTAGGGGGAGGGGCAGAGGGAGAAGCAGACTCCCCACTGAGCAGGGAGCCCAAGGTGGGCCTCCATCCAAGGACCCTGAGATCATGACCTGAGCTGAAGGCAGGTGCCCCATGAGCTCCAGTTTTGAAATTTTTTGCCACAAGGCAAACTTAAAAATTTTATACACTATATAGGAAATAACTAATCTTTAGTGTGTTGTCTTGGGGAGAGGCTTGCCGCTGCCTGATCCAAGTTGCCCACAGTCCAGCTCCACCCCATCTCCCCAGGCTTGAGCCATTCTGGTAAATAAGTTTTGGTTTGAAGGTGAAATATGTGGAAATTCAGTGATTGTTACGTTTATGACTTATAGGCTGTTGATTTAATTACAGCAATGCCCTTAAAAAAAAAGTGTGTGTGTGTGTGTATATATATGTATATATACACACACACACACACACAAAGATGGCTCTATTGTTGGAGATTTGATAAAAGTAAAATGTTCATTTCCTCATCCATTTTGTTTATTAGACTTGTGGAATAACAAGCATGACTTTAAATGCTATTGTATGTATTTGATCTGTGGAACCAGTCTGCCATTAATTGGGCATGTGTTTC